ACATGAATCAATCATGAAAGCATGAGAGTAACTCATGAAGGATACTGTGATAGAAGCTTTGAAAGCAAATTAAGTTACTCAGGGTGTGTTTCTGGAAAGATAGAGCACGTGTTAGTAGGATCGAGAGAATTCAGGATTAAAAGTTGGAAAAGGGTTAGGAAGTTAATTATAAGGACCGGTGAATCCAATATTCCCTATTACTAAAAGAGATAAGTTTGGTTTGGGGTATCAACCAACTTTGAGAGAAAATATGGGGGAATTAAAAAGGGTCAGAAAATGAGAAAGGCCAGATTGGCTAGTGAAGACCTTAGCTGGAAACCAATGACCTTCCTACCATTAAGCAACACTTTCACATCATGAGGGAATATGCTTCAAGTGAATTCAGGGAGCAATGAGGTGACGGTTGAGAATGCCTTGAGAGATTTAGGCAGTAATGTTATAATTGATGATGAGTTTAGAGAAATGAGAACTATGGGCATTTACCCTGCACCGTCGGGCTTCATGTTGAACAATTGGACCGCAGAAGAATTGCATGTAGTTTACAAGTCTTTTACAGAGTAATGCACTAGAACTTTCCCCTATTGTTCATATCTTGGGGCAATGGGTGATTTTTTGTAAAGGGTTAATTTGTTTGTTTTTACTTGCTTTCAATAAATGATGCATTCCATTAGTCCAAAATGGTAAACATTCTCTCATGCATTTCATTTTTGGTTGTATATATGTATATATTATTTCTTTCTATTTATTTATATGAGAAAAGATTCTCCCATATATATATGTATATATATCTTCTCTTCTGTTATTATTTCAGGAACTCAGTTATCAATGATACGAATGCTGTTGACCCTGACCCAGAGATTGATTTTGAGATGCCCATATGTCAAGGGGAAATCGAAGGTTATGATGATGATGAGGGATGTGAACTACCTTCTGAATTGCCGAAAATGGTGGAAATGAAGAAAAAAAAATTTGCCTCATGAAGAGCTTATTGAGATTTTGAATATAGGGACGGTTGAGGTTAAAAGGGAAGTAAAGATTGGTACAACTCTGTATGTTGAAGGACGATATTATTTGATAGAATTGCTTCAAGAATTCAAGGATGTATTTTCTTGGTCGTCCGAAGATATGCCAGGCCTATATACAGAATTGGTTGTCCATAAATTACCGATAAAGCCTGAGTGTAAGTCTGTACAACAAAAACTGAGAAGAATGAGACCTGAAATGTTGCTCAAAATTAAAGAAGAAGTGAAGAAACAATTTGATGTCAAGTTTCTTACAGTGGCCAAATATGCTGAATGAGTGGCGAATATTGTCCCAGTGACAAGGATGGGAAAGTTCGAATGTGTGTCGACTACAAAGATCTCAACAAAGCAAGTCCAAAGGATAATTTTTCTTTGCCACATATAGACACTTTAGTGGATGATACTGCTGGAAATTCTTTGCCACATATAGACACTTTAAGATTTTGGAATTCTTTGCATAAAGCTTTGGGTACTCGATTGAATTTCAGTACGACCTTTTATCCATAGACGGATGGTAAGTCAGAAAGTACTATTCAAATATTAGAAAATATGTTGAGAGTATGTGTGATTGAGTTCAATGAATCATGAAAAATTATTTGTCTCTATAATAATTTATCTACAATAATAGTTGTCATTTGAGCATCAAGATGGCTCCGTATGAAGCTTTATATGGGAGAAAATGCCGAACACCATTAAATTGGTTCGAGTTAAAAGATCGGAATCTTGTTGGCCCAGATTTATTGAAAGATGTAGAGGATAAAGTAAAGATAAATTTAAGATAATCTCAAGATGGCATTTGATTGACAAAAGGCTTATGGAGACTTGAAGTGAAAAGAGATTGAATTTCATGAAGGCGATAAAGTTTTTTTCTTAAAGTATCGCCTTGGAAAAATATTTTGAGTTTTGGGCACAAAGGGAAACTAAGTCCAAGATTCATTGGACCTTATGAGATCTTAAAGCGTGTAGGACCGGTGTCTTATCAGTTAGCATTACTTCTGGAGTTAGTCAAAGTTCACAATTTTTTCATGCGTCGATGCTTAAAAAGTATCGATTGGATCTTTCACATATCATTTCATCAGAGGAAATTGAGATCCAACCATATTTGACTTATGAAGAAGAACCAGTACAGATCTTGGCTCAAGAAATCAAAGAACTACGTAGCATGACGATACCTCTAGTCAAAGTGATTTAGCAAAATCATAATGTCGAGAACGTTACTTGGGAAAGAGAAGATGATATGAAGAAATAATATCCACACCTTTTCATATCAGGTATGTCTTAAAAAATTCGAGGATGAATTTTATTTAAGAGGGGGAGAGTTGTAATACCCAAAAATTTAGTTATTGACCAAAAATGCAAATTTTGAAAGTTTGATGGTCAAATTAGAAAATTGGGAAAAGTTTAAGGAACTAAGTGATATTTTTCCCAAAAAGAATTTTATTCCATAAATGGATTTAGTGAGTGACCAAATTATAAATTTTTAAAGTTTGGTGACTAAAGTATAAATCTTAAAAAGTTTAGGGACCAAAATGATAATTTTAAAATGTTACAATTGGCTTTGAAAAATATATATATTATTTTCACATTTTTAAATATTTGAAAATAATATAAATCTTTGGATTTTAGGATTTAATTTCATGTTTAATTTGGACTGTTGGAATAAAGTGGCAAGATTGAGATTTTTGAAAAAAGGCAAGGGCAAATCGATAAACTAAGATATTATTTGTTCATATTTGACTTATGGATGAGGATAAGGTTCAGGTGTCATGATTTGGAAGATGATAAGGTTAGGTGTCTTGGTTTAATGGTGATTATGAAGTTTCATTAAGGGTAAATTGGTGTTTTCTCAATTTTTAATGAATTTAATATTCATTAAAGGTGAAATTAAAGGTAGATAAGCATGAAAAATATCTAAAGTTCATGCCAAAAGTGTTTATCATCTCACCATTGCCGTGAGCTATACCAAGGTAAGGGAAACATATTTGTTTTCCATTTTTACGTCATTTCCTATGGATTTCGAGTTATGCTGTAAAATAGAAAATTGTTCTACGCGAAAAACGCAATCATTTGGTACCAATATTGCTTGTTAATCTTGGTGGAATTCAAATATCCCAAATCTAAGGGTTTATGTTCATGATAGGGTTCATGAAATTGATAATGAATCTTGATGTTTTTGAGGTTGTAGATTCATTTTCAAGCTTGATTTATGATTAAAACATGTTTTAATCTTCTTAGAAATAATTCTTTAAAATTCGGCCAAATTATAAGTTGGAGAAACTCTGTTACAATATGGATAGCATAAATCCATATTAATATATGTTTTAAATAGTATGTGATAATTTGATATGATATGATATTTTTATAATATCATTTACCATTTTAAGAAAATAAATTTTCAATCACTTTTGAATTGAAAAATATTTTTAGAAATTTAGGTGACATCTATAATCTATATAGGTATAATTATACGGGTTATAGGTGTTACAGCTTATGCATGGAAGCTTGGACGATACAAAACTGAGAGAATAATATTCATTAGGCTATTAATATAGTTAGGTACCATGTTGGGCTACTTTCATTCTAGCCGTATTGCATTCAATTTCATTCTAGTTTTCCCGCACTAAATTTTAATATTTACTATAAACCAATTGAGTTAATGAAACGAGATATTAGATTTTTAAGCAATGTCAGTGTTTAAAACCCGACGTTATAAATGAAGTAAACTGAGTGAAGATAATTATTCTTATACTAAACTTTTACCGTACCTTTCTAACCATTTTAATTTATCAAAAATTTTAAATTCTAAAAAATAAATCAATCAGTGTTAAATTTATGCTTGAATAAATTCCCATCCATATTTAAGTTCAATTTGTGCGTATATGACATGTCAATTACGAATAGCATGTTAGGTTTAATTTATGGAGTAATAAGAACTAGCCTTCAGTCCTTAGATTCTATTGCTCATGTATAATAGTGTCAGTTTGAATAAAAATGGCTGATAGGTTGGATTATAAGATAATTCATTATTTATATTAATTAAAAATTATCAATACTCATTTGATCTAGTGAATATTATATTTTTTTAAGAAATAAAATTAATAAATTAAAAAGTATTCGATCTAGATTAATCAATTAATAAAATTTAGAATAAAAATATAGAGGAAACAAGTTATATTACAATTAATTCTATATTGGAAAAAATTGATGGCCATAATAATATCCAATGAGTGCAAAATTAAATAAAAAATAGTAGAGAACAGAAAATATTAATAAAAAATTAAGGATAAAACACGAACTAAATTATCATAAATGTTCGATCATCAACTATTGCAGTCAGAATGACTAAATGTCTATTATTAAATGATTGAGAATATTATTTAACTTAATAAAAAAACTAAAGATAAAAGAATGTAATAATTAATATTCATGATTGATAAATCGAAAATAAAATAAAATTTGAGAAGTTACCCTGGACCTAGGCTAGAAAAGAATATAAAACGTTTAATGATAATTGAGCGAAGAAATGTAGTTTAATAAAGAGTAAATTACATGTTTAATATCTAAATTATTAATTTTAGTCTATTTTAATATCTAAAATTTTAATTTTTTATTAGATTTTTTTTCTTTTTAGTACCTAGTCGTTAAAAAATTTAGTTTTTTGTTTCATTTTAGTATCTCGTTCAAAATTTGACGTTAAGTTTTGAGAATATTAATAGTATTGGTACAAAAACGGATAAAATTTATAGCTTAGGCATAATACACATTAAGTTTTTAACAGTGGAGTACTAAAATGAAATGAAAATTAAATGTTAGATATGATTTTAAAAAAATAAAAATTTAAATATTAAAATAGACTAAAATTAATAGTTTATGCATTAAATGCATAGTTTATCGTTTAATAAAACGGAGAAAAATTTTAAACTTAAGTGACTAAAATAGAGGAGAGAATATAGATGAAAGATAAATTCTAACAAATAAGAGAGAGGCAAGAAAAAGGAAAAGGGAAGAACGGAGGGGAAAAGGCTTGGATTGGGTACCGTTGTCCGTTTCAGAAGTGAATGGGCGCACCCCATTTCTTCTAATTTGTTTTGGGTAAGCTGTCTTTATAAATTCCCCTTTTCTATTTCTATGTAATTGATTGCAATTGAACGAAAACCAAAATTGAAATTTGTGGTTTACTTCATATTCTATAATTGAAGTTTGGTGCTATATTTGCAATATGTTGTTTCAACCATTTTGCTAACCTTGTATTAGCAGGGACTGATAAAACTCTTTTGGGGAAACAAGAAAAAAGAAACTAGGATGAGAATCCGTAGGGGATTGATGGAATTAAATTATCCATTAGTAAACTTATGCTTAAGCATTTCCCTTTGATTCTAGATTTCATGCTAATCCTTTTCATTTTGATGTAATGTTTTTTCTTTTGATGTTTAAGAAGCTGAACATGTTTTCTTCTTCTTCATTTTTGTCATGATGTTATGTTTTCTAGCTTCAATCACTTACTGCTATCTGATTATGTAATATGAGGATCCTTATCTAAGCCTTTTCTAGAACCCTGCAATGAAGTGCAGATCTTAATGCTAGTTGTTATATAGTACAAGTAGACCTTTATAGTTATTGTTCGGAACCGGAAAACCAGAAAAGACATTACCAAACCACTGGTATGCTGTATGCTATGTTTAAAAATTGTCTGCTAGAGGGTTTTAACGATCTTGATAAGAATTCTCGGAACATATCTGATGCAGGAAGTTGAATTAGTAAGTACTGATAGTACTTTCATTTGGGCTATGCTTGGTCAAAATGAGTTGATATTTTCCTTTTTTAGCTCTGTTATTTTGATAAAGTGATCGGGATTTTCGCAAGGTAAGGAGTTGAGTAGATGGTTGAATGGCTAGCAGAGGGAAACGCACAGTTATTACCTATCATTTCTGTTACTTTTTCTTGCCCTTCTGCATGTCTTCTTCTTTTCTCCAATCTTCTCTATTTTTGGAATCCAAAATACCTGCATCACATATAGATTTTCTGATTTCTTTAATTGTATAAATTGCTAATTTATTTTCCTAACAGCACATCATCAGCAATAGGCAGACATGGAGTCGAGCACAGCGAGTGAGAAAAAGAAGTTGAAACGCAGAGAGGTAAAATCATAACATAGGGGTTTTTATTTCTTCAACTTCAATAGCAAAAAAAAGACCCTTTTTAGATATTTATCATAAATGTAATGGATGGATACTTTTCTTTTGGCTTTTGGGCTTTCATAGAATAGATACTGGAGAAAAAGAAAGCAACAGACCAAATCCTCAAAGCTGCTTCTGCCCAAATTGACCATCTTGCTTCTTTCCCTTCCTTCCGCTGTTTCAACAGAAATGGTAATTCCCTTTTTTCCATGTATTTTCTAATAAATAAAATCATTTGTTTTTGGAAGAGTTGCCAGTATTGATCAAATCATTACCAGGCCTTTGTTTACACTTGGAATCAGGGCATGGAGATAAGCTATCCCATTGTACGAAACAATACATTCAAAACCTCTTGAAGGTAACAATTTGAATTTGCAAATTCTGAATTGCATTTTTCTGTTTTAATTGAAATCTTTGACAGGTAAATATGGAGGGTCCGTATGGATCGGAGTGGGCAATTGAAGAGAAGGTGAAACGGAGAGAAATGGTTGCTCCAGAAGCACGCTATATATTTGTATGCAGAAATGCCAATGATATGATGGACAGTGCCCCCATTCCCCTGCTTGGTTTCCTACATTACCGGTTCACTCTGGAGGAAGAGATGCCTGTTCTTTATTTATACGAATTGCAGCTGGATTCCTCTGTCCAAGGGAAAGGGCTTGGAAAATTCTTGATGGAATTAATTGAGCTAATTGCTCAGGAGGTTAATAATCTTTACTAATGCTCTTGAGTGTATTATTTTTACCGGTTCATTGTGTTTAGCAGAATTTAGGATAATGTTCTCAATCAAATGTTGCTTTAAACTCTATCAAGCTAAATTTGAGGTTCTACGATGTGATTCTTTGCTTTGCATTTTATCCTTCTCTTAGAAGTGGATGAGTGCCGTGGTGTTAACTGTTCAAAAATCAAACTCGTCGGCCATGAAGTTCTATAGAAGCAAACTAAGGTAAGATTTTCACTGTCTAGGATTGTTGTTTACTTACTGATGCTATCCCTCCTTGTTTTGTATAATCTTGTCATTCCTGCTTTGCACTTGTTTATAAGTGTTATGTGCTGCAAGGCTAAGATATGAGCAGCAAATTGATAGACACAAAAGGAAAAGAACTTGGAAGGAGAAATTAGAACCTGGTGATACTGAAAAGCAAGCTAGAACAATGTAACCATTCAATAAATCTATAGGCTAAGGCTCTGGTTTCTGTAAGCAATCTAAGTTTTATAATGAATCTAAATTATGCTACACCTAGTATCTCCCTTGTTACCCGGGAATAAGGTTGTCACTTCCATTGCCTTTCTTGGATTTTATCTGTAATTATCCTGTTGCAGAAATTGACATACCTAGAAAACAAATTTATGAAAATGTTTCTAGAAAGAGACCATCAAGTCCCTTTTCTTATTTGGACTACGGAGATGCATCAGAGAACAAAATTATTTTTCTTTTTAGAATTAAGATGTATACTACATTTTAATTATAGCAGTGCACGGTCCTGTTGTCAAAGAGCCAACCAAGTTGAAATTTGTATGTAAATTATATGCCAGTCTGTGGCCATTTGTTGCAAGTTTCTTTTGAGCATGTCTGTAAATTAAGATGTATACTACATTTAGTTTTGGTTTTATGTTTTCATTTTACTTTATATTGTTGGAAACAATGAAAATGTACCTCTTTTGTGCAGATATGTGGTATCGAGTATTTCGCCATCTAGAGTCAATCCATTCGTAAGTAGTTCGATTACATAAGCATTATAATATGTTATACATGACTATTATTTTGAGTAATTTTAACCCTTATACGCAGGCTGGAGTAGAAAAGAAATATGAAATTCTTTGCAAAACATTTGATCATGAAGCTAAAGCTGTATTGGAGGTATATTCAATTTAGCATATTGGTGCGATTATCATCCTCGTAAATTTGTCCACATGCATTGGTAATGTCTGAAGGTAAAAGCCACACATTTGCACTAAGACTTTACTTGATAGTAAGAATCCAACCCCTACTTCTCGATTTACATTTTTTTCATCAGGTGAAAAAGCAGACGCCATGTCAAAATTGCTTCCAATACCATTTGACCACTCTAAAAGTGTTGGATTGAACTGTTGATGCAGGCTTGGTAGGAGGGTAGGGTTTATGGCTGCTTTTCGGATTTGAATTTTGAAGAGTAACAGGGAAAATTGAATGAGAAGAAACAAATTGTCGGGTTGCATCTCATAGGGAGTAAGGGCGATTAATGTACTCCATTAATAACATCAAGATTCGAACTAATGATCTTACTTAAAGAATTTTAGAGTAAAATTTTTAATATTATTAGCTGCTCAATATTTTTTTTCTGAAATGCATTGCTGCAAAACATTCTATTTCATCAGTTAGAGGGCGAATGTTCACCAATAAACATAATTTTTAGATTTTATTTTATAAACTAACTACTTAAGATCACATAATAACTATACAATGAAAATATTAAAAAATCAAATAAAAAATTCAAATTAAATATAAATACGAATAGATCTAATTGCATATGTAAATAAACCATAAAAGGATATTAAACTACTAAAAGACCATCGAAAAATTATGAATCAGAGTCGAGCATCGTGAGAAAATTATCCATGAATGTAAATCGTGAATCTAAATTTAATTCGAGGGTTCAAAGTAGTGATGATCAACACGATAACAAATAAGTAACATATTGATAAGCCATGACAAAATCAAATTCAACCTTGAGGAAAATGATATACGAAAACAATGTCCAAGTGATGTAAAACGTGTCAAAAGGAGAAAATGTGTGATAAAAACAAAATTATTAAAAATAAAAATAACAATGGAAAAATAAAAAATGTCGATAATGACTACCATAAGCAAGATTAGTGTAGTTACCTAAAGAGTTAGTGAATTTATTATTTATAACCCTAAAGAATTAACTTTCTTTTTAAACGCAGGAAAAGCAATGCTAGTTCATATTTTTGGCAATAGAAGCCGAGGTGGGGATAACGTAGACATGATGGCACAGTAGTACGTAAAATCTGAAGAATATGAAGCATAATTTGCAGTGACCCTTGTTTCTTGAAAAGAAGATGGTGTGGGTGGAGGAAGAAGAATAGTCTTCCAGTCAACGATCCCAGTACTGTTGTTGGAGAATGTTTTGTTTCGGGGAGATGATGGTTGTTTTCCAAAGAAGATGATATATCCACCTGTCTGACTCTCTTTCTCTCTGTAAGTATATATATATACCCTAAACCCTAAAACCATAAACTCAAAGTCAAAGCGAAGCTTTATGGTGTTCACACTAGCCTTCTTACTAGAATCATGTCCAAGCCCAAGTAATGAGTTGTTTGAAACCAGGATAAATTGGCCCATTATCGATCCCGGGTAAATTATTTAACCCATTAGGGCACCCAAACTTTTAATTTGAGATCTACGGCAATTGCAACAGTCCTCATGGAACTCGTCACGTATGGAGCTCGTCACGCATGAGATATAATTTTTTTAATGATCCGTGTCAGGTGAGCCCCACAGCCTGATTAAAAAAAATTCAAGAGGGACTCATCACACCGGCATGACGAGTCCCAATAAAACATATTTTTTTATTTTTAAAAGAAAATTAAAAAAAATAATATTTTATGGAGATGGAACTCGTCACGCTGACGTGACAAGTTCCAACGACTTAAATTTTCAAAAAAAAAGTTCAAATTTGAATGGAAATTTAACTGACTCAAAACTAAAGGAGTAGTATCGATACCATTACTCACAGTATCGATACAATTAATCTAAGTAGTATCGATATCATATATGGTATCGGTACCATTTTATCATTCTGTTTTTGACAGTATCGATATTGCTACTCTATGTAGTATCGATATCACATATGTTATCGTTACCATTTTAGCATTCTGTTTTGACATTATCGGTACTGCCTGAGAAGTATCGGTACTACAACTCTAAGTAGTATCAATATCATATATGGTATTGGTACCAATTTAGCATTCTGTTTTGACAATATCGGTACCAGAACTCAGAGTATCAGTACTACTACTCGAAGTAGTTAAAAAACTTTTCAAGTATATGACTCAAATTTTCAACATAAATAATATCCAAAATATAGTGGGCATGGTCATAAACATACTAAAAGATAACATGATAATTAAGAAATGCGAAATATGATAAATATAAATTCAATCATCCAAAATACAATTTTGTAACCAAATCCAAAATATCAAAATGTTAAGTAATTTAAGGTTCAACGTATGATATTTGAAACGTCCACAAAAGAACAATTAGCATAACAATTGCATTATCAAGCATCTGATGGTGGATCGGGATCCGAACGAGGTGCACGGAAAGATGCAACATCTTGAGAAAGAGTATTGATCCTATCATTGACGACGTCGAATCGAGCATGGGTGTCGTGTTGCAGCTCGGTCAGTTGAGTCCCCAAGGCAGTAAAATGGGACTCCATGGATGCAAACCTCAGATCCAATGTCTCCATCAGCGATTGAAAATAGGGAGGCATCGCACTACTATCGCTAGGTGGCTCGTCAGGGATGCAATTTACAAGATCATCTACATCTTGTAAAACATCATCGATATGAGGAGGGGCCGGAGCCGGAGTTGCCTGTGAAGAACTAGCACCGGGTGTCTTTTTAGTTGATCGTTCCCAATTTGTACCAACTTGAGTCCATCCGGACTTGCGAAGAGACGTAAAATCAATTTGGGTACCTAAAGGGATGACAACATCTAGGTTGACTCTAAGACCGGCTTTGATAAATAAATTACTAAGAAGACAACCATACACCAAAGACTCGACTCTCTTACAGGGAATATAGATTATGGTGTCCACTAGCTCACCGAAATGATTTGAGCAAGATTAATTCTTTTATTGTTTTGAAAACAGTGTATCCACCAAATGTCGATACATCGAAAAGAGGAATATTTTCCTCCAAATGGTCGAAACCACCAAGAGATAATTAAGTAAAGAAAATGCTCGTGAAAGTCAACTATACTAGCGCTCTTTCCTACTTCTAAGGAAGAAGGGATAAAATCTCGCTCATTATCTATCCCGATGTTTTCAAGACCAAAGGCACGAGCAATAGAGTCATAATCAATTGTAATGTATTCACCCAAGAGATAGGAACGAATACTTTCAGTTTGAGTACGAGATTCATTTTCAATGCAAACCGCATTAGAATAGAAAATGCAGACAAGTTGGTGAAAGACAGCGAGTTTTACTTTGAACGTGTTGTCAAATTTCCAAGCTTGGAGAATAGGTAGGTATTTGAAGTTCATCTCTTGCATTTCCTTAAGAGAAGGAAGACGCTCACCCCTAATAGTGTAAGACTCAAAATGATTTAGGTATCGGGAGTATAGATTTCGACGATTTAGTTCATTAAAACAAGAGTTTACGATTGTCATTTCAGTTGGATTGGGAGGAGGATTTGGCGGAGGGTTAGGATGTGGATTAGCACGAGAGGATGATGATCTAGGATGTTTGTGAGACATTTTAACGAAAATCGGAATAAAGATTATACCTACAAAAGGATAAATAAAATATATGTATACAATCAATTAATCCCAAAACTCAATATGAGTCCACAATTCAAGGTATTCTATAACTAAAATGTTATTATTAATAATAATATAATGTGTTAAAAAATGTGTTTAAAAAAATTATGAAAAAATTTTATGAAAACAAAAGTATATATATATATATATAAACAAACGAAATATTATAATTAAAATTTTGAAATTTAAAGATTTTTTTGAAAAAAATTGTAGATTCTAGTGTAAAAATGCAAAATAAGTAAAGACCGTTCACTAATTTAAGCGTGGTTCTTCATTTTCCTCTTCTTCCGGCTCCGGTTTCGGTATTCCGAACACTACTCCACCACTTTGATATACATCTTCGGGTGAAAATGATGGAGTACTCAAGGTATTTGATGCCATCATTGATGTCATCGCCTCAAATTGAGATTGTCCGGGATGAAGAAGATGATCCCATGGACCTCTTTCTTCCGGTTCTGAGGAAAATTGTTGTGAAGATGGCACTTGATCCCACCCACTTCTTTCCCACACCGCTCGACTCTCCATCGATGGTTGATATGCATCATATCCACCATAACTTTCTTGCGTGGATAATAATTGGCGAAAGAATAAGATGAAGATGTTGACGAAGATGATAATTTGTTTTCTCATATTTTCCCTTCATTATTTTCCACTCGGACCGCTCCTCCGCCGTTGTCAAGTATGGTTTCCCATTTTCTTCAAACTTTTGGAGGTAAGGAGAAACATTGAAATCAAAATCTTTGGGTTGTACCTCAGAACGATTAGGCAATCATAAATGTCTATTTTGCCATTGATATATGAATGTAGCATGCTTCATCGACCAATCTTCGGTATGCTTCCCACGCGCATCTACTTTATGCAAATTGTCAATGTCATATATTGGCATTTCTATCGGTTGGCAGACCATGTGTCCGCTCCTTCAAAGGACATTGGCGGTAGACACCGTTGGATATCTGACTCATAATAAGACATCTAATTAAACTGTCAAAAGTATTATGTTAGTATAACTAAACAATTAATATTACAATTTAAAAGTTAATGCAAAAAATAGAAAAAATTACCGCATGTCTACCGGTGATATCAATTCTCATCAGAATATATAATTTGGTTGCACCCGAAAAATTTGTATCGATTATTCGGTGTCGCCATCTACAAAAATTATGTTATTTATTGTCATTTTCAAAATATTTAAATAAATATTATAAAATATCAAAACTTTAAATATATGAATTTACCTTACGACGAGAGGAAACTCCATAGGAGCTGATGTAATAGGTGTCATAAACGGGAGACGATACCACGGCCATGATTGGAGCAAAACTAAACAACCCGCTACATCCATTTTTTTCCTCTCACGACTACGGTCGCCTTGCATAGTTCACGATACAAAAATGCCAAAATTGCAGAACCACAACTATATTGGTGACATACAACGAATCCTCCATTACCGGAAGATATTGGGTGTGCACCAAATTGTCTGATTTATCCGGTAGCAAGATCCCTCCAATCAACGTCAAAAGAGATGCTCGAGCTGCATATATCACCTCTTGCTCTGTTGATTATTCATCTACTTTAAATTTGCTTTCTAACCACGTCATCTGTACCCGCAACCCATCAATGACATCGGTTGAAGTCTCATTTCCAAATAAATTTGAAATAAGAACATTTACCTTATAAGTGTTGCGAAGCACCAATGGCATACCATTAATCGGAACGCCAAGTTGATACGCGACATTTTCCAAAGTTATCGTCACTTCGCCACAAGGTAAATGAAACATATGCGTTTCGGGCCTCCAACGCTCAATCAACGCCGATATCAGTGTTGACATCACCTTGAATCCACGAAGAAACGTTGCTCCATATAATTCAGATTGTGAAAGATATATCACCATCCGCTGATGTGGCTCTCCATTCGTCATTCCTCGATGACGAATGGTTCGTTCTTCTCGCTACAATTTGAAAATAAAATATTTAATACAATTACATAAAATAATTATTATTAATACTATAATTTTATCAAAACTAAAATGAAATAAAACAAATTAAACTTACCGTTGTCTACTCCATCGACGAAATATGAACTTTATCAAGACGTAACATTTCATCTCTTGATGTCATTTCAACAAAAATTCTTCAACACAAAAGTTTTTGCTCTCAGTAGAATGTTTGATTACAAGTGAAAAATCTATCCAACCCAAACCTCTATTTATACTACTCTACCTAACGACTACTTTTTTGAAACTGAAAATAGCTGTTGGAACTCGTCACACTTGACGAGTTCCATTGAAATTAAAAAAAAATCGATCGTTCAACAACGTTCAATCTAACAGTCAAAAAAGTCAAAATTTAAGCCGTTGGAACTCGTCACGCCGACGTTACGAGTTTTATCTCCATAAAATATTAATTTTTTAATTTTCATTTTAAAAATTACAAAAAATTTATTTTTTATTGTGACTCATCACGCCAGTGTGACGAGTCCCTCTTGAATTTTTTTTAATCCGGCTATGGGGCCCACCTGACACAGATCATTAAAAAATTATATCCTATGAAACTCGTCACGCTACCGTAGATCCCAAATTAAAAGTTTGGTGCCCTAATGGGCTAAATAAATTACCCGGGATCGGTAATGACCCAATTTAGCCTTGAAACAATACATGTTAAAACATTTTACGATGCTTTTGTCTCTGTTGCTCCTTATGGAAACTGCATGCATGGGGATATGTGGAGCAAAAACTACATTTGATGATTGGTAGCAACTGATGCAACCCTAGCTGCCATATGGTTTTGGAATGACTCTACGGCCATTATGTCATGTCATCCGCAGCCTTAACTGTGAACATCCATAAAAGAGAGAGATGGTAAAAGAGTTGGATAAAAGAAATGTTTCTGACGTTGTGATATAAGAAATTAGAATCTGTCTATCTGGGTGATGGTACCATTCACACTTGGAAAATTTCACTTTTCAAAACTTTCTTTATTCACCGTTAACACAAATAAAACGTAGAGGAAGCATCAAGTGCTTATCCCTCCGATCAAGTTATCTAGAAATAGCTCCCAGCAGCATCAACTAATCGTTAAATGCTTATGCCTAGCCACCATTTCTGTGAAAGCAACCAATGAAGAACCGAAAAAAGAGTCGACGCGCTGTTTATCACTTGCCCATCTGAGAACACTTATCCTTCCTCCAGCAACAAATATCGGATCCGCCATAGCCATCAAGAGCAAAGTTGGATACCAAATCTATAAGATGTCTGAGTATTCATGATGACTGATAGGAGTGGATACCAAATACTAATAAGGATGTAATATTTGCATTCCCGAGAATACGTTATACAGTAACGTAACATGATGAATTTAATTACACTCGCAGCGTCAATGGTTTAATCAAGCGCACCTGATGAAGTAACACCCGCAGTGTATGATTTCTTGACACACCAATGGCTAGATGTCACCTAACCTTGTGCACTGCGAATCCAGATTGCTTCACAGACCAGTTCTAAGAATGATGGACCTCATCAAGAGGGCATTATCCACTAGACAACTCCTGACTTTGCTTATTCCGGATATAAGAAGCTCAACACTCGATGCTGTTTTCTACTCATTCCACCCAAGTTTTCTTCCTCGTACAGTTCACGGCTCTCGACAAGTATGCCAAGATAACCCTGCACAATTGGTTAGTTTCGATAGCCACCAACTTCATCTTTTCTTTTGAAAGGAAAGGAATTATATTAAATACCAATGTCATCCAAAATTACATAATTCTTAATACATTTCAATTAATAAAAAAACAAATCAAAAGGGTTTAATCCTAAACAAAGCCCATTGAACGAGTGAATAAGCAACTCTATTTGCCTCCCTATTAACTAAATTAACTTTATATTTCCACGACAATGGTACCTCTTCATAAGGAATCTTTGCTTGACCCTCTGACGTGATACTTTATAATGTAATAAATTAAACCAAAAATAAATATTTAATTCAATTTCAGAGGTAACCTTTCTCCTTTTTCTATAAACATTTAAGTGAATTCCCAAGTGAAACAACCGGCCAAATAAGTTGTGTTGGATTATTTCAGTTTTGGCTTAAATATGTTCAGTCTACTTTAATACGACTGACAGTTTATTCAGTTGATCAGAACCAATCGAAACTTACCCGTCCACCATAGATTGCATGACATACAAAAGCCAACATCTATAAAAGTGAGAAAACTTTTAGCATGATGCATTAATACTTTGATAATGTCAAACCGACCATTCAGGCGTCCATTCTCGACTCGCTTGATATTTTCAAGCTTCCTATTATTCCATTAATCAGCTTATCCCTGTCATCCTCCCCAGAGTCTGCAACAAAAGTATATTTCTTTTGCACACTTTGCTGCTTCCCGTACTCCTCCAAACAATTTTCTGTTTTCATGCCTTCTCCAGCATCACCAGATGGCTTGACATTGTATTCAGAACAATCAACCAAAGCATCAGAGTTCTCTGAATTATCCATTTTATCCTTATCTTCCGTAATAGTGTACAATGAATCAAGGATTTGCAACAATGAGCTGCTTTCCTCATCTGATCCAGGCTTCTGTTCTCGCCCTGATAGCTCTGCAGTTGACATGTCCCTTTCGGAATCAGAAAATTCATCATCTGAGAGAGAAGGATAGTTGGGATATTTTGTCTTCGTGTCCTCAGGTCTTTCACTCCCTAATACTGACTGCAGCTCATTTCTAGTTGAATCCGAGTTGGAAACAAATCCTAGTTCATCCCACATAGTGTCCAAATCATCAACTTTTGTTGTCGCATCATTAGGCAATTCACCAAATGCAGGATATGTATTTTCTAGAATGTTAGGGACAACTGTTTCCAAGCCAAAATTGTCTGGAACCATGCTTGCAGGAATTATGAAGCAGGACTCTATTTTAATTCCAGGTATTTTCTCCAGCAGGCACACCAACCTTCTGTAACCAAGCTTTTGTAAATCCAGAAGAAAACCGTGCTTCTCAAGGAAGAGTTTCCTGAAGTTACCCATATGATATCCTTCAGGGTGTTCCTTAAGTATCTCTTTAACAAGGTTTTGACAGTCGGACAATACCTCACATCTAGTACGATCTGAAGATTTCTTATCGGGGATGGTAGTTGTAACTCCAGAATGAGGAATATTCTGCAACTTTTCCTCTCCTTCGTCCTTTTTCCGCAAGTTTTCCTGCGACGAAGTTCTCAGAAAGATTGATCTCAACCCAGAATGACCCAAACTGGAACTCTTCCCAACAGCCTTGGTGATCTTGATCGGTGAAGATTTCGAGGGGCATTCTTTGATCCATTTCTTATCAGATATTAGCAAATCCACCAAATGAAGAAGATCAGTTTTACTGAGGGGTCTAAGAACCAAAGGCCCTTCCTTAAGCAGATTTTCTGCCATCTCTTCCCTGCAAAAATGTAACAGCCACAGACATAATTTTGTTAAAGCTCCTACAACTTTTATATTTCCAACAGATTTTTATCAGCAAGACACTTGGGAAAAACTAGACGGTAAGAATTAGCAAACCTGGTCCTAGACTGTGTGACAAGCAGTGATCTCCTGGGTGAGTCTATTAAGGTTTCCATGTCTTCCCAGAAGGATCCCTGAGTAAAAACTTCATGCTTTAAAGAGTTTGTATTTGTTTGGTTGAGCTTTTCATGGGATTGATCATTTGATGTCTCAAAGTCATTGTTACTTCTCTAAAATTTACACTAGCCGGCAATCCAGTTAAAAAAAACTGACCTCTTTCCAGAGTGGCTTTCAATTGCTTCATAAGTTGCTTTAGTGTCAACAGTAGAGTCATTACTTGATGAAGAACTGATAACTGTATATGGAACTTCACATGACTTTTTCTCCAACTCTTCCTTCATTCCTTCCCTCTCATAACCAACCCCAGTGCATTTGGTCAGAGTACTGTTATTTTGTTTCTCAGAGCTATCTGCAGAATCACCTTGTTTACCTGGAAGGTTATGACCTTTTCCCGCACGATTGAAATCACTACCACCAAACCATCTTTGACAAACTTTCTTTATGAGGCTTCCATCAGATGCAGAATCTTGTTCCAGAATACGATCCTGAAGACTCCTCTCAGGAATTTGATCATTAGATGCTTTGGCAATCTTCTGATCAACTGGAAGGGGCTGTTGGGCTTCCTCTTGAAGCATCCCTGCATTTACTTTAACAAGATTACCATTTTCTGGAGAGGTTTGTTGTATCTTTCCAGGAGTAACTCCAGCATTAACCTCAGGCGAATGATGCAACCTGGACTTTTCATTTAAAACAACATATTCTGTCCTGTCATCACTACTTGACATAGAAGAAACAGTGAGCTCATCTCCAGTTCCATAGACAGGTCCAGCAGATAAACAAGGACTAGTCTTAGATGGTTCATCGGCTTTGGGGCAATTCCATGTATAATAAAAATACCATTACCTTCTGGCTGAAGCTTCAAAATGTGTGGCATTGATAAAAGAAAGCGGGAGAACTTTTTATAACCATACAAGTCTTTATCAAGGCCAACATTGCTTTTTTTAAGCTCAGCACGAAGGTCTATAATGGAAATTCCCTTTGGGTATGAGTTAAGAATCTGCCTTATCTGCTTAATGACTGCCTCCGGAACTGGCCGAGGCACAGACTCAGAACAACTCTCGGACAATTCTTCAGTCCGTGTACACGCTGGTTGTTCAACTAAAAACGGATCTTCAAGAGCCACCCTGTAATGGCCATACCAAGAACCATAAGGACCATCAGGAGGTTGATTATAGTGCTTTCCAGTCAGGTTCTCTCCTTTGAGAAGCTCATTCCAATTCCACATAATACTAGCAGCAATGCGAAGAACACTTGGAGCTGATTCTGAAGTAGCAAGCAGTACATTGTAGTTGTTCATCCGTAACCTATGCAATACACTTGCAAAGTCCCTGCCACCAGTGATTAAAAAGAGATGGGCTGGAGGAGGATTCTGAGAAACCCAACACAAAAGATCAACCAGAAGCGATCTGTCAGCACTGTTCTTTCCACCTGCATTGGTGGACATTTGCATGGTAAATAACATGAACAGAGACAATAAAAATTTAGAAAGAAAGGGAAAAAATAACATATAAGAACTGAAATCCATATTCTCTCAGAAAGCCATTTGTGTAGTGGTGCCACTTCATCGATTTTAAAACTCAGACAAGTGCAATTAACTTGTCTGCAAAAGGCACACTCAAGGTGCTAGGATTCTAGTATTGTGCATGGCAGAAAAACCGAACTTGCAAGAGCAATTTCAGCATAAAACTAGCATTTAATGTAAGTTCTAGATCATGGTATCACACCCTAAACAGAATGGAAGTATCGTTATCACACACCAAACACAATGTTATTTCCTAGAAATTTGTCTTTCATATGTTCTTTTAGCAGATCAGGGAGAGGGATGTTAGATTGATAAAAGTTGTTGGTAAAAATTTGCATATAATACAGTTTAATTTGCACTGAACATTGATATGAAAGTATCTTTTGAAAGGTTAAATAAAAGTTTACAGAAACTACTAAATTACTCCAGGAAAATCCCAATATCACACTAAATTCTTGAGATTCAAACATTCACTAAATTGTAGAAATAAAATACCATTCGGAACAAGAGAAATATTAACCCCAGTAGCAGAAAGCTCTTCCTGGTTAGTTCTTGAGAGTTTGAAAATATCTCCGAAAGCCGTAATCTGAACAGGGCCCTTAATTCCATTGGCCCTTACAGCGGAAGTGATGATATCAGAAATCTTAAAGGCATTAAAACTAGCAGGGGGAGAGCAGTTCTCAAAATCCCACCAAACTGAAACCTTAACGTGGCGTGAAAGTTCGTCATGTCGCGACGACGAAGAATGGGAATGGAAAGACTGGGTTTAGCAAGTGGAGAAATGAGAAATGAAGATTGAGAGTGAATATAAAGGTTGAGCAGATGACGACGAATAAAATGAAGAAGAGGGAAGAAGGTTTCTTATATGGAAGGGTTTAAGGTTCATTGTTAATGACAAGATGGGTTTTCGCCATTCCAAAGACAAGGCCTAGGGTTTTAGGAGGGGAGATACGCAGCAGTTAAAACCCCTTTGATTTTCTTTATTTTGGGTAAAGTACAAAATGATCCCCTGACTATGGGGTACTATATAGTTGAGTCCGTCAACTATTCAAAATTATACAATGATCCCTTTATTGTAGGACAATGTTTTATTGAATTCCCTAACTATTAAAAGTTATAAAATGATCTCCTAACTATTCATATATTTCAAGATTTTCCTTTTTCATTTAAAAAATTGGATGTCGTTTGAGTTGAACGTTAACTAGAGGTGTTTATCGAGCGAGTCGATTGTGAGTTGGACAGTGCTCGACTCGTGCTCATTAAAAAGTTTTATTGCTCGGCTCAACTCGTTGCTCGTTAAACTCACTAAAAGTTTTCACTTTATATTTTAACTATAGGTAAAATCTACCAATACTTTATAGAGTTTAATACAAACATAAATTAACAAATTTCACAAAAAAGATTATCAAAAGAGTGTATGAAATAATTTTAAAGTATAAACTCTAAAGTAATCCACAAATATACTAAATTAATAAATTTGTAAATTATTAATTAATAATTTACCATCTTTCTTATTATCATTAAACAGCTTGCAATATTCATCATCACTACTTTTGTTTTTCTAAGATTAAATAAAAAAAATCATTTTTTTACGATAGTTGAAAGATGTGAATAAAAATATCTCTTTAAGTGGTTATTGACAAGTTGAAAGCTAATGAAGAATGAATGAAAGATATACAATGAAGCACAAGTAAGAAAGGATAAACGTTGTAAAGTTTTACCTTATACTTGAAAGATAATTGTCGATCCAATTTAGCAGATTAGGTTAAAGTCTTTAATTTGATAATAATTGTAAGGTAATAGAAGTAGAATTAGGTGAGAAATTAAATCATTATAAATTATTGTGTGTTTTGTATCCCTCTTAAGTAAGAAATATCATTTGACAAATTTTCAATTGTCAATTCACTCTCTCTAGACATAAATAGAACTAACAAATTTGTAGGTAAATTGTTGAGCTCATGATCCTTTCTAATTTCTTGTAAAATTTTGAAGGGTTAGAGTTAAAAAGGTTAATGCATAGACCGAATCCGTTTTCTCAACCACTCATTCATAGGTACTGATACCATATGTTAAGTCACAAGGAACAAGTGAGCTGACCTATAAAAGTTCTTTATGCTGACCTCTAAGCACTAATATTTTACATTAAGAAATCCAAGTAGTTGCCAGAAACAGTTGGTTATTTCTTTAGGTGGAAATAAAGCAATAAAAAAGGCACAATTATGATGAACCACTAACAAGAAATTTGTAAATAAAATTTCATTTCCAACAGAGAAAGCATATGCTTTCTCAGCATTGCTATGCTGTATTTGGTAATGGGGATACTACATTGATGTCAAACACTTGTAGTTGAAGCCTGAAGGTGTTGATAAAGGGGTTCCATTTTAATTTTAATTAATCATATTCAAAGCAAATGGGGTCAAAGAAGCCTTTCTTTGTGGCTCTTCTGGTGCATGCTCTTTCTTCTGGCATGATCTTATTGTCCAAGGCTGTATTCAATATGGGTATGAGCATATCTGTGTTCGTCTTCTACAGACAAGTTGCTGGAACAATTTTCATGCTCCCTTTCGCCATGATTTTCGAAGGGTAATACTATCTTTTCTTCATAAACATTCATATTAGTTAAGAAACTAAAAATTTCCCATATCTCTTCCTTATTCCAGGAAAAACGCGAAGCCACTTTCAATAGTGACTTTCTGCAAGATTTTCATGCTTGCTTTGCTGGGGTACGTGGGGTACGTAAATGCTTTCAAAATCCCCGATGAATTTCGCTAAGAGTTATACGTTTTCTTCTTCTTATAATTGATTCGGTTTGGATTCAGGATCACCTTAACTTTGAATATTTACGGAGTAGCTCTGATTTACACATCTGCAAGTCTTGGTGCTGCCACCATTAATTGCATTCCCGTCATAACATTTGCCTTTGCAGTTTTACTCAGGCATGTTTAGTTACCTTCCGTCTTACTTAATACTATGGTTTTTCTTCCTTTGACATTTTTATTTTACAAAAGGATGTACATAGATAATTCATACTTTGAATAACATTCGTGGTATAAGGGAGATTATGGCATTGGCAACAAGACTCGTACCGCACGAACTTTGCCCAAAGTGATGGATGGAGATCATTAATGGCTAAAAGTGATGAGAGAAATGTATAATTACTATAGTGTTTTATTTTTAATTTTGCACAAATAGGTTGAAAAGTATATAACCTTTCCCCTATTAGAATGATAACGAATAATATAGCTGTGATATGCCCTTTCCATAGTAGCGCACTAATTAATATTATAAAAAAGGTTTATATTCTAATTATTTAATTCTGGTTAGACCTAATGTTTAGGGTTCGAATCTTACCCTTTTTAATACTAACATGGATGACCATGTGATTGGTTTAACAGGATGGAGAAGGTGAGAGTGAAGAGCGTCCCTGGCATTGCAAAAGTTGGTGGTATAGTGGTGTGCATGGCTGGGGTTGTCACTCTTTCTTTTTACAAAGGTCCCGTTTTGAAACCTCCTTTCCATCTTCATTCTTTCCCTCTCCAACATGATGGGCATCACCATGGCCATGCTTCTTCTCCCTCAAAATGGATACTTGGATGTTTCCTCTTGCTGGTCACTTGCATATGTTGGGCCCTATGGCTTGTACTTCAGGTACCTTTCGTCTTTTTCTTGTTCATTTTTGTATTAGCTAGCATTACTTACCATTTGGAATTGATGAGGCAAAACAGGCTAAAATTTTGCGAAGCTACCCTTCCAAGCTTACATTCACGAGCATTCAGTGTTTGTCGAGTGCTGTCCAGTCATTTCTTGTCGCTATTGCCTTGGAAAGAGATCCTCGCCAGTGGAAGCTGGGATGGAATTTTAGACTGCTCGCAGTTGTTTATTGTGTAAGCAAACACAAAGAATATTCTTATGGTTTAACCTGAAGATTCTTATAGTTTACCGGTTGCATGAATCTGCGATAGGGGATTTTCGTGACGGGTGTTGCGTACTACTTGCAAGCGTGGGTGATATCAAAGAAAGGGCCAGTTTTTCATGCAGTGATGACGCCATCGAATCTGGTGATGACAATTCTTGGCTCAGTGTTCCTCTTAGGCGAGACCATTAACCTAGGAAGGTAAGGTAATTAAACACCTTTACCTAACCATCTTTAGGAAGGAGATGCTTAATTCTTAAGATATATGTTATGTTTTTGTAGTGTTGTGGGGGCAATCATGTTAGTGATAAGCCTTTACAGTGTTTTATGGGGAAAGAACAAAGAACAGAACATTGAAAACGAGAGTTGTTTGCCTGTTCAAGATCAAACACAGGTAAATTAAGGAAACAGCAGTTAGTAGCAGCAACCCTCGGCCATCGTTATCTACGTAAAACCTAAGTTCTTTGATTCTGTTTCTAAATCTATTAATCATTCTCCCCTTCATTTTGTATTTGTTTTATGGGTTTGCCAAGCTCTTCTTTAATTCGTTTTTTAAAAATCTCTTCTTTAGTAATTTTAAAAGATTCAAATTACACATTCAATACCATGTTACCAAGTATCAAAAGAATATCATAAATACTCTTCATTATAGTTTGGGTTTCAAGATCCTTACATTTCCTTTCAAAGAAGAAAACTCAAACAAAATTCACTTGTTCATCATTTGCTTATCTTCAAGATAATGGTTATAAGAAGTCTTTTAAATTAGAATCAATGAGCACGTTAACATTATAAAATATTTACAAATTTAGGGTAAATTGCATATTTAGTACCTAAACTATAAGTTTTAGTCCATTTTAATATCTAGACTTTCAATTTTTTCAAAACAATACCTAAAGTTAGCTATAAAAGATAATTCACCATAGTGATAAATTTTTATCTTTAAGATAATAAATTTTCTCATTTTTCATGTGATAGATTAGTTCCTCGAAATTAGAAATGTCTCACTTCTTATGCTTTAGGAAACTTTTGTAGTAAGATCATGATTTGGAAAATTTTCCAATTAGTACATTTGCTTGGAGGATATGATACATCTTTATTCCTTCAATTGTGATATCATAGATTAACTTTTCTTATGCGCGCCCTTAGTTTATGATTGAATTATCATCAGTCATATTGAACTTCAGACATTCTCAAAGTTTTCTACTTCTTCTCAAAGTAACTCAAATTGATTCTTTTTAGAATCAGATGGGCGGGAGCAGTGGATTATGTGAAAGAGGTGATTAAGATCAAATTGAAGTCAAATTTATGGTGGACCCAAATTAACTCACTCTAAGATAATTACAATAATATCCTTATATATAATAGATTTTAGGGTTTTTATAATATTCTCATTTTTCTTTGTTTTATTTTCCACACTTTCTCTTTTCGTATATGCCGCCGCTTCTTTCTGTTTTTTGTGTCTTCTTCTTTTACGTTTTCTGTCTTTCTTCCGTGATAAGCTTCAGACATGATGCACTAGATTTCGCATAGACGATATTGAATGACCATATTCAACATTTGTTATCAACAAGGAATATTTTAAATTAAAAAAGTCAAAATATTAAAAATCCTCAACTTAGATTTATTTTTTTATTTTTTTACCAAATTGATTTTTCAGTTTGGATCTAAAATCTTTAGCCTTTAATCATTTGTAAATATTTCCGTTGGTTACTTTAATCTTCAGCTAAATTTGGATTTGGAAGTAAAGTTTATAAGATCTTTTAGTTTGGTATTTGATTTAGATTTGACGAGAACAAATTTATTCGGCCCGAGTGAAGTAAGAACATGAATACATATTCAACTCGAACACCAAAAACACAAGAGAGAGAAAACATTTCTTTCATTTATTCATCACAACAGAAATCTAAAACAGCAACATATGTAAGGAAACTCATCAGTCTAACAAAGATACATATATAGTAGAGATGGATACTGTATGTCTTGTTGATCATGACTTTGAGACTGACGAAGCATTGGGATTGTTGGTGGGAGCTCCTTGAGGGTTTGGCATTAGCTAGGGTTCTTTTCGAACAAGAAATGCCAAACCCCAACTTCACTCTCATCCCCCACCCTCTCAATATATGGAGGTTTTCAAAACTGATTGCCTCATCCCTTCGTGTAGCTGTGAGCCACGTAGTTGCCATTCCTGCCTGACTTGGGTAAGGATCGCTTCATTTTTTAAATTAATGATAAGAATACAAACCTACTATTTCCTTATAATTATTAAATATTTGAGTATTATTGTTGGAATAAAAATGTAAAATAAATAACATTGAATATATTTCTACAAATTACTTGTATTTTAAATATACAAACATACTCAACTTTGATTATCTTATATATAAAATATGCATTTCATATATTGATATGAATTCATATATTGATATGAAAGATAATGTTTTCTTAAAGCAATGTATCAAATTAAAATATGGTTATGATGAGCTATAATAATCTCCCTAAGCCTTTTAAAACCATTGTTTATGTCTTTGTAACCCCTCAAACCTATTTCATGTGTGTTCCAACTAAGTCTCCAAGGTTACAATGATTTGGTTCAATTTACTATTTCATTACATATATTCAATTCATTAGTCACTGTACAATTCAAATAAATACGAAAGTTAGATACGCATACTTAGGTAAGGATAATTCCAACAACACGCTCAATATGTGTGGGCCAAAATTGCATGGGGGTCTCAGTTTTTTCGACGTCAATCTGAGGAATCGCGCTCTGCTTAACAAATGGATTTGGCGTTTTAGTTTGGATGAGGAAAGTTTATGGAAAAATGTAGTAGCAGCAAAATACAATTATGTGCAGGATTCAATTATTCCAAATGATGCAAATGTCAGGAAATTTTCATGGATTTGGTGCAGTATTATAAATCCTGCTGAGTCTTGTGGGATTGTTTTTTTGTCTGAAGTTAAATGTGTGATGGGTAATGGTTCAAAAATTGATTTTTGGTCTGATAATTGGACGGAATTGGTTTCCTTAAAAGCGTCTTTTCCTAGACTGTTTCGGATAGCGAATAAGAAAGCCGGAAAGATTTCTGAGTTTGGCCATTGGGTTAATGGAGTGTGGGAGTGGGAGATAGAACTTAGGAGACACCTATTTGAATGGGAAAAGGCTTTGTGGAGTGATTTCATGCTAGTCTTAAACAGAGCTGTTAGTGCAGCTCCTTGTGATGATAAATTAAGATGGATTGGGTCTGCAGATGGTTCTTATAACGCTAAATCATTTTGCATTCAATCAACATGGGTAGGTAAGGTGGAAGACCCCATTTGAAAATTCGTCTGGTTTAAATTCGCTCCTCTAAAAGTTTCTGCGTTTGTTTGGAGAGCAGTTCAACAAAGGCTGCCGGTCATCATAGAGCTTCATAAAAGAGGTATTCATTGCAGTGTTCAATCTCTCTATGTTTTCTGTAATTGTGAGCAGAAAACAGTTGATCATGTTTTGTGTCATTGTGATGTGGTGTGGAAAGTCTGGCAACGTTGGTGTAGTGTTTGGAAGGTCAACATAGTTTTCCCTATGAAGGTTAAAGGGCTGCTTGAGGCTTGGTTCCATCAGAAAATTAGAAGGAAAGATCGACATCTATGGGATTTGGGATTTTTTGGTTTGATATGGAATATTTGGCTGTACAGAAACAAAGTAAAGTTTAAGGGTATTGTTGTTTCTGTGGATCAAATTTTCAATATAGGTTTGATTCAGATTGGGGTTTGGACGAATGCTTTTTGGCCATCGTTGATTCCGATCGTTCAAGATTTTGTGCGAAGTTCGCAGTCAATCACTTTAGGTGTTTGTGATTACTGATTTCTAGTTTAATAAATTAGTTAGGTTAGCTTGCATGGACTACTGCTTTCTAGTTTTTTCTCACTTTATTAAGACGAAACAGGGGTTTCACTTATTTCCAAGGTTTTCATATTTGAAAAATTCTATAATGTGTCTTTGTTTGATGTCTGTATTCTTTTTCCTTGTGGAGTGGCTTGCTCTTTCTGTCATATGCATAAGGATTTAAATGAGGCATAGTCGTGGTGCTACTGATTCCATGGAGCTGTGTAGTGCTGCTGCTGTGGTGTTTTCCCCAGGTGTGTTGCGATAGGAGGCTGCTGTTTTGTGTTAAGTCCCCTGTGGTGTTGGTGCTTATGTATACTTTCTTTTTAGTTTCCAGCATAGGTATTTGGTTGCCTGTGTTGTTTATTTATGAGCTGGAGTGTGAATCGTTGTTCGATTGGGATATGGACTGAATTTTGTAAGATTGGTATGCTAATCACAACTTATATTTTTTATGGTGTCCGATCAGCCTAGAGACAATGTATTTAATATTGTTACACGGACAGATACATAATTTTATGTTAAGGGGCAAACTTATAAAATTTTAAGAAAATAAAAATAAATTTTTAATAAAAAATACATTAAAAAATCTATTAAATTTTTAGAGAAAATGATTGTCTATCTTATTGGTCCATCCCGGATTGTTGAGATCATCATATCGTATAGGAGGAGTGGAGATCCTATCGAAGGGTTTTTTGACCTAATACCCCAATCAGGTTAATTATTTAGGATATGAGGTTAACATGGACTTTATTTTGGAAATTATGTGGGTCTAATATCCAATTTAGTGCATCGTGGTCCAAATTCATGTTGACCCAATACTCTAAATAATTAATCCGCATGAGGTATTGGGCCAAAAACCCTATCGAATCAATTTTGAACTCAAACAGACCTTTTGTTTCCATCAATAAGCTCAATTGTTTTATCCATGGAGTCCAATCCTAATATCCAATTTAGTGCGTCTTGGTCCAAGTCCATTCTAGAGTGCACATTCGTTAGGTCGTGTGGGTGGGTTGCATCATTTGAGTCGTAGGATTGGGAGTTTACTTATATAGGGCTCTGCAATGGCCCAAGTACAATCAAAGGATCCAGTCCAATCCAACACCAAAAATCCTTACTTTCTTCTTGAGAGATGTAAATTCTTTTCTTTTTACCATCCAAAGCTCCCTCTGTATCGATTCGTGAAGAGAGTGGGTTTTGTCTTGATTTCATCGATTATGCAGATACCCAGATGTCCAAACTTGTTGCTACTCAAGAATTCATTGCTTCCAGCTTTGTCACCTTCAAAACCAACCACTACAGTTGCTGCACCCCTCGTTGCTTCGTTTCATTCTACGCCTGTTACCTATGAAAAATGGAAGACCAAATGGAATTTTGTCAGTTCACTTTTCTTTCCTTTTTCTGCGGTTTATACATATATATATATTCTCATCTGCTTAGTGCTGTCTGTGGGTGAGTTTGAATTTCTATTTTTAATTGAATAGCTTTAAACAGGATTTTTGAAATTTAAAGTTCTTTAATAGCTTTAACTTGTGGCATAACGTCCTTTTCTCTGAATTCTAATATAAAATAATGTTGTTAGTTTCTGCTATTTTCAACTTCTTGCCCCAAATTGGCTGTTCTTGACTCTTATCAAACTAAGTCATCTTCTATGTGAATAAGTAATAGTATTTCTCCCTTTTTCCCACTCTGGAGCACCATCAATTGCAACATTTTTTTTGTTTTGTTTAGGAAGTCGGATAAATTGTATATGCCTTGCATTGATGAGAAAACTTAGCAATTAAATCTATTTTTGCAGGATGAAAGAAGTAAACAACAAACAACTAAGGTATGCAGTTTTTTGGGCGTCTATTTTGTGTAATTATGTGCATGCATCTTTTAATTATCTTCTTCCTAGTATATCATATATGAATGTCTTTAGATTGGTAATCGTTTCAGAACTTTTAGTAGACTAAATTCCAGGTCAAGTCTGTATGCTCGAGCCATACTATCCATTTCTAGATCTTTTCTTCAACCTCAATTGCCGAAACAGTTATCTTATATTTGGACCAGGAACATTCCTAGCAATCTTTAATGCAATAAACACCTTGTACATTTCAGGACAGGAGTCGCCATGATTTATTTGAATGTTCATGTTGACCAGATGATGGACCTCATCTTCTAATGGCTTATTATTTTGCTATTTGTTAATTTCATACTACCTAATTAGTTTTGTTATGAACTCTTTTGTCGTCTTCTGGCAGTTTCCTTCCTACTTTATTTGTTCTTTCTTTTTTAAGAAAAGAAAAAGAGAGAAGCACTCTGATATTTCAAACATCATTGCAGAACTACATAAGATATACAGTACATCAAAAGCGTGCTGACACAAAGGCAGCTCTAAAACATCTTCTCCATAATAGCGGTTGCTCAAAGGTTTCATTCCAGGTAAACATTTCTGGGCTCCTGCTTGATGTAGAACCCTGTTCTTATTCAAGATTTGAACTTCAGTCTTCCTGATGTAATGTTTATATTATAGTTATTATTGTGTAGTTAGATTGTGATATAATTTATTGTTGGTTTTTTATGCATTTTTGTTTAGAGCTGTCAAAACTTAACCCTAACCTGTAAACCTTCCCAGTCACTGGAATCTGAAGTTGACCTAACTTGATTTGACCATAGAAGTCAACAATCCAAATGAACCTAAAATAGCCTGATTCAGATATGATTTTGACCTGAATGAACCAAAATTGTAACCTGCATTAAACTGATTTTACTTTAAAATTAAACAATTTGAATCCCAGATGACCTAAGCCTGAATTGAGCGGAATTCGATTTTCTTCCCTAACTGAAGTTACCTGACTAAAACCAAACCCAATTCGCCCGTTTGACACCTATAGTTTTACTCCAATTTTATTTGCCTATTCTAATCTATTAAGGAGTTCTTCAAATATTTTGGAAAAATGGACCAATGATTCAATTTTGGAAATATTTTGACACCTATAGTTTTACTCCAATTTTAGGTGCAAGCCTTGGAATTAGTTTTAGTGTCTTCATTATTGGCATTTCTGTCATTTATATTTTAATAAAAATTCTTAAGTTTATGGTTCATAGAATATTCTCATAAAGTGTGCATCTAGTGTTGAGGTATAGTAGAAGCTTTTGATTTCAGTTAGGCCTTTGAAAAACTGAGGTTGCAGTTATTTTTGTGATGAGTGATGGTAAGTTGAATTTTCTTAAAATTCAATGGACTTAATAAGCATGTAAAACTTGAATTTTATTTATTTACCAAGAAACCGTTTGACTCAAACATACATAAAGCAAGAATTTTATTTATTTACCTGGAAACCATTGGACTCAAATGATGTTTATAAAACCTGAATGCCTTGTATCGTCTGTGTTACTGTGTACCAAAAGATTGAGCTTACATTTTTCATTAGTACCTGAAATTATAATATAAGTTATGCCTTTGTCTTTTATCCAGGATGAAGTTCAAAAATGGAAATTTGAAGGGACAGAAGGCCAGGATTCAGATGGTTCTGATAAGAAGCGGCGGTCAAGGTTTTCTGGACGACATGTTCAGAAATCTAACCACAAAAAAGTTAAAAGTGAGCTTCTTTCTTTTATTGTTTCTCGAAATGAAACTTGAAAAAATGCCTCCTTTATGGGAGAACTTGCTTCTGCATTTGAAAACTTTATTGTCCTTGGTTACATGGCCCAGGAAAGTTAAAAAGAGAGAGTTTCTCTGAGGAATTTGATCATCCTGAGAGAATCTTCCAAGCTAAATTTGGGAGCAAATGGTATACCTGGTCTTCTGGGGAAGGTCATTCTTTCAAGAATCCAGAATCTGGATTTGAGTGGCGAGAAAAATCAGGCTGGACAAATCAAAGAACGAGAGGGTGGGAGGGTGCTAGTGATGCCGAGTCTGATGAGGATGATGAGCCATATTCTGTAGGATCATGTTCTGATAGAGAAATCCTTGGTTTGCCTCAAACAGGCCCCTTAAAGATTGAAGATGTTAAGAACGCGTATGAACTCGATATTTTAGAGGCCTGTCATCTTGAAGATTAAACATTACGTATTTATGTTTCCCACTTATTCCAATTCTTTTTCATGCATGTATTCTAAAATCATTAAAATTGTCATTGCAGCTTCCGCATATCAGCTTTGAAGTGGCATCCTGATAAGCATCAAGGTCCTTTTCAGGTGGGTTAGAATATCCAAAAAAGAAAATTATTGGCTGCTCATCCAAATCCAAACAAATTTTTTATGGATTTTAATCTATGGTTTATCATATACATTTTTTTTGGTCTGTCATTGTGTGTGAATTTGTACTTAATTTAGTGGAGCTGTATGCAGGAGATGGGCGAAGAGAAATTTAAGCAGTGCGTGGATGCATACAAATCACTATGCCATGCTCTATCCTAAGTCATGAGGTTGGTGGTGTTTTCTGATGCCGAGAGGTCTCAGAGAAGGATAGGCTAAGAAGAGGTTCATGATTCATTTATTTCTTATTCAGAGAAGGATAGGCTAAGAAGAGGTGTATATCTTAATTTGTATGGTTTCTTGTTTAACTTTCTTGCTTAGAAAAAAGAAGATTTTTCTTTACCGTGTAATGTACGAAGATAGAGGGAAAATAATAACCACAAGAGGCTAATCTCAACAAATCAATAGTTATTGATATGGGAAGATTGTTGGATATTTTGAGTGATTAAAAGTTTTTTTCTATATCTAAAATAAAAAATATCATGAATTTTGATTGAATGTACTATTCGATACATAGGATGCAAGATGATAATGTTAGGTTATCCTGATAATCTAAGTTTATTCTTGTCATATCTACTTAGTGGGTCTCCATCAATTGTCTTGTTTCTAAGTTTAGCTTTATTAGTAAACCATTAGTCTCTGTGTTCATGTTTTTACAATGTCGATTCTATGATTCATCTCATTTAATTTGGACGGAGTTTCGTGTCTTTTAATAAAGTGAAGTACTCCAATTTAGGTTGTTTATGGTTGAACGGGCGAAGCCATCCCTAAATGACTAGTAGAGACTTCTTTATGTTCTCTCTTTAACACTGGAGAGTTTTAAAAGCATCTCATGTTTGAACAAACAAAGACATCTCAAATTATAAGTTATTTTAACTTTTTTTGTTGTTGTTGATATAACTAGGTACTTGATTTTTTTTATTTAAATTAACACTTAAACTTAGGTTTTTTTTAATTCAAATTGATTTTAAAAAGTGAATACTAAAAAGTCAATTTCATGTACTAATTGTTTTTTTTAAATAGACACCAAAATAAACTTTAAAGCTAAGTGCAAGTATCTAATTGAAAAAAAAACTTTTAAGTTTCAAACTGAACTTTAAAAACAAGCTTAGATAGCAAATCATAGATTTACCCTAAACACAAACCTATGAATTAACTAAATGGATAAAGAGATCTGATCCCATCCCTGCTCAACTGGAACTACATACCCCCCATGAATGTGGGCTTCATTTTATTACCAAAGCTCAAAGGAAACAAACCTGGTTTGCTCCAATGTCTCATGCATTCATTTCCAACAAGCTTATCCACCCCTCAACCCATCCTCCCCACTTGTTTCCTCGGCTATCCACATCCAAACAAAACATCAAACCTCAAACCCTCATCTCAACCATACATCCAATGGTTACGACCAACAGATTCAGCCCCGGTTTTATCACCAAAGTCGAAGATAACAAAGCTGGCTTAGTCGGCGAAGATACACTTTCCCACCTCAAATCTCAACTCTTACAGCAACTCCAAGGTATAACCACAGCCACTTTCATCCCATTCTTTTTTAGCTTAGAATATTGAAAGTGGGTTGTTTTCTTTTGTGTATGTATTCCAAGGAATCAATAGAGGGATTTTCGGAGTAGCATCTTCTAAGAAATCTGATATTGAAGAACTGGTGAAGCTGCTTGAATTCCAGAATCCAACTCCGGATCCTACCCTGAATCTAGAAAAGGTGGAATCATATTTCTATTTGTGGGAATAAACTGAAGGGTATGTAGTTACAGTTTTGTTTCTATAAATGAAATGAAGGTAGGTGGTTGCTGGAAGCTTGTTTACAGTTCTATTACAATCTTGGGTTCAAAGAGAACAAAGCTTGGGTTGAGAGATTTCATCACCCTGGGAGAGTTTTTCCAGACCATTGATATTCAAAAGGTATTACTTGAGAAATTTCAGGTGTATTGTGTTTGTGTATATGAAACTGTGTTTGTAATGGGATTCGGGTTTTACTAACTTTTAGCATTTGGTGATGGGAAAATGGAGAGCAAAGCATTTAACGTGATAAAATTCAATGCCAGAGGGTTGAAATTGTTGAATGGGAAGCTCACAATCGAAGCTTCCTTCGAGATTGCATCCAAATCAGTTAAACCCTTTCTTTCTTTCTTTCTTTCTTTCTTTCATGAATGCAACAAAATACAAAAAACCATGATCATGATGTTCTTGTTTGGAATTCTGCAGAGAGTGGATATAAGTTATGATAATTCAACCATCACTCCTGATCAGGTAAGCTGAGGATATTTATTATACCAAGTGATGTAACATAGTTGATCCTAACTTGAAGCTTTGATTTGTTTGAGAAACCATAGCTGATGAACGTGTTTCGGAAAAATTACGATCTGCTGCTTGGAATCTTCAATCCAGAGGGGTGGCTGGAGATAACGTATCCTTTTACCTAGTGCAGTTCATTTATATTGTAAAACTTGAGAGAGGTGGTTGTTCCTTGAGTTGAGTTTGAAACTGCAGATATGTAGATGATACGATGAGGATAGGGAGAGATGACAAAGGGAACCTCCTCATTTTACAAAGATCTGAACAAGACACAGTCTAGCTCTATACATCAATTTCTGATTTTATGTATCATCTCAAATATATATATATAAGCATCAATGCAGTTGAAGTTGTTGATCTCTAGACTCCAGTTTCCCAAGGAACATCGCTTGCTGATGATGGCTTAAGTTTCCAATAGCATCATCATCGACTTTGTTAGCCTGTGATTTTGTTGGAGTTTCTCATCTGATCGTGATTGTTGATTAATTAATCTTTTGATTAATTTTCCTAGGAAAAATTACTCTTGTTATTCTCATTATACAAATGATATTATTAATTTGGTTACAAACAGGTTATTATTTCTCTAAAAGTTGCAATTTATTCCATGAACTAAAATAGGCAAAAAGTATCAGAGGTCAAAAAATCAATATAGTCTTCGTATTTTTTCCCTCTCAATATGACCCTTCAACTCAGAAAACAAACCCAATGTGACCCTTTAACCAATGTTTTTCGTCGTTGATTGTTACGATGCTGACGTGATAGTTTACTGTATTGGCATGGCGGTCCACGGTGTTAATGTGACAGTTCATAGTAGTTGATAACGTGATGGAAGACATGACAGATATGTTAAATTGATAACTTAAACATGACAGATGATTACCATGTCAGTACCGTGAATTGTCACGTCAGTATTGTAACAATCAACGATAAAAACATTGATTAAAGGTCACATTAAATTTATTTTATGAGTTGGAAGGTTACATTAAGAGAAAAAAATATGGTCACAATGATTTTTTTCTTCAAAAGTACATGTACTCTTAACCATTAAAATATTATCACGTTAAAATTGAAACAAAAATATCTATATAATTTTAGTTCCAAAATTTATATATTCTATCATTTTGCCCCAAACTTTAATATTTGACGGATAGCAATGTTCAATTTTAATACAAGTTCAAATACTAATATTCAAATGGTTTGCGGATAAAAAGTTGATTTAAAAACTGATAAATTTATAAATTTGAATTCAAATAATTCAAAATTTACAGATATCCAACCCGTTACCATTTATATATTCAACCATACAATACACTTGCAATGTGGAACATGCTGTCATTAACAGTCACTCAGGCCTGGCATACCCATCTTTCAATCATTGGCTTCAATGTCCTTAACAATAATTATTCACAACTAAGCTGACATAATTCTCATTCTAACGCTTGCATTAAAACAAACCACGTTCTTCACAATTAGGAGAAAAAGGTTCACATCAAGACTTCAAAACCGAGTTCAAATATAATTTCTGCATCAAATTTTAATTTTGTTCATACAACTTTTAATTTGAATATGAAAATTTGAGAAAAATATAATAAAGAAGCATCACACTCACTCTCCGGCTACAAACATGGTTGAAAGATGCATGGAAAGATGAAAAGAAAGCACCAATTGTCCTGCCCACCACCACCTCCAGAAGGCCATCATCTCTATCACAGTGACACCAGCGGGATTCACAAGTCATAACATATAAACGGCTTACATCCACTTCCCCACATCAACCAGACTTTGAGCTCACTTGACACAGGACACGAGAAACCAACTAAACATTAAATGTAACTCACCGTCAAATCACTTGCAGATAACTTAGAAGCACTTCCTGTGGACAATGGATGGACCAGACTCATCATACTCGCCCTTGGAAATCTACATCTGATGCAACAGGTAAAGGAAGAATGTCAGTCTTGGACAGCCAACTTACAGGAAAAGGAAAGCATGAACCAAATATGAGCAAAAATATTTCACCTGCTGGAAGGTGCTGAGTGATGCCAAGATAGATCCTCCAATCCAGACACTGTACTTCCTCTCTGGTGGAGTAACAACCTTGATCTTCATGCTGCTTGGAACAAGGGCAGTGATCTCCTTGGTCATACGGTCTGCAATACCTGGGAACATAGTCGAGCCACCCTAAGCACAATGTTGCCATAGAAATCCTTCCTGATATCCACATCACAGTTCATGATGGAGTTGTAGGTAGTTTGATGGATTCCAGCAGCTTCCATCCCAATGAGAGATGGCTGGAAGAGAACTTCAGGACAGAGAAACCTCTCAACCCCGATAGTAATGACTTGTCCATCAGGCAACTCATAGTTCTTCTCAACAAAAGAGCTGCTCTTGGCAGTCTCCAGTTCCTGCTCGTAGTCCAGGGCAATATATGCAAGCTTCTCCTTCATGTCACGGACAATTTCACGTCAGCAGTGGTGGTGAACATGTAACCTCTCTCAGTAAGAATCTTCATCAAAGCATCAGTAAGATCACGGCCAGTAAGGTCCAGACGGAGGATGACATGAGGAAGGGCATACCCCTCATAGATTGTTCACAGTGTGAGAAACACCATCACCAGAATCCAGCACATTACCTGTTCCAAGGTTGAAGATACTAATTTTTTTATCCATATTATTATTATTAATATTAATATTATTATTATTATTATTATTATTATTATTATTATTATTATTATTATTATTATTATTATTATTATTATTATCATTATTACTATTATTATTAAATAGATTAAATACATATATAAATTACAGACCAATTACAACTGGACCGGCCCAGTTACAAACCAACCAGAACCGGTCCAAATCCAACCAGAAACCCTAAATATTTGGGTTTCCAATTAGGGTTTCCTAACCCTAATTTAACCAGCCGCCTCAGCTCACAGCCGTTGGATCTGGCAAGATCCAACGGTCCAGATGGTTCCAGAGGGAAACCCTAGGGTTTGATACCCTAGGGCCACGCGGCGCCGCCCCAGCTTCCACGCGGCTGCCGACAGTTTCCTCACCGCCTCCGCCGCTGCCACGTCCCAACCGAAGACTCCAGAAGATAGAATACCAGCCGTCCACGCCATGGCTACTCGGTGAGTCACCACTGGTAGTCCGGTGACTCACCGAGAGCCCTTCTTCGGACCGGTCCGACAGCTACAACGGTGGTGGCTATAAAAGCCACCACCCCATCTGCGAAGAAAGAAACCAGAGAGACAGAAAAAACCGAGACAGAACCAAAGAAAAAAAAAGGACAGAGACAGAGAACGAAACAGAGAGACAAAAAAAAGGAGAGAGAGACAGAAAAAAAAAAAGAGAAGATATAAACTATTACCAACGATCTCAGCAGCACAAAAACCAGAAGAAAAAAAAAAGAAAAAGGAAGAAGAGCCTTACCGAGGAAGCCTCGACCACCGGATCTCGTCAGAACCTTCGAAACATCGAAGGTATTTTTGTAGATTCGCTCCGATTAGGAGCTTTTTAAGGGAAAAGAACACCGGACCGTCCTTAGGACGGTCCGATCTATCTATTAGTATAAAATAATTTTTCCGGCCACCGGATGCGGTGGCCGGCGGTGACATTCACGGTGGCACACGGTGGCCGACCAGTGACGGCTTCCCTCCGATGAGGGAAGCTAGAGAGAAGGCAGAGAGTTTTAAAACTCTCTCAGTCTTGAGAGAGAAAAAAAAAAAGAATGAAATGGTGGCCCTTCGGCCAGCCGATTTGGACCATATATAGTCCTCCCGAACGACGTCGTTTCGGGAAGGACTATGCGCGTAATTATAAAATAGTTAAACCCCGTCCGCAGTCCTCTGAACTTGTAAACTTTACATTTTAGTCACTAAATTAAATTTATAATATTTTAATTCAGTCTTCGAATTTTAATTTCTTTTATTTTAGTCCCTCATATTAAAATAATATATTTAGGATAAATTACAGATTTGATCCATTAATTTTAATAAATAATATTTTAATCCCTAGTTTATATTTTTAACTTATTTGAATCTAATATCCGAATTTTAGATAATTTTATTTTAGTCACCAAATAAATAAAATAAAGAAATAACATATTTAATCCCTATAGTTTTGATTAATTATGAATTAGATTTAATTTTATTTTTTGTATTTAGTCATTTATTTTATATGTTTTAATTTATTTTATTGTTTTTAAATATTTGTTTTAGTAGTATTTTTTATTTTATTATATTGTTAATATTTTTATATTCATAAATATATAATAATAGTATTTTTAAATATTTATATCGAAAAAGGACAGTCTTAATACAACTGGATGTCCTATTCTGATATTTTAAAATTAAAAGTAAACAATATTATTTAAAATTAATATTTATCAATATCAAAGAAAAGAGCTGTCTTAAGGCACCTAGAAGTTCTTTTCGGATATTTTTAAATAAATAAATATTTTTTTTATAATTTTGAAATAATAAAATTATAAATTAAATATATTTTTTTGAAATTTTAAATTTTAATAATAGAGACAATTTATAATTAAAAAGTACCAATTTTGGGCGTTGTAGGGGTGCTAATCCTTCCCTAAACGTAACTGACCACGAATCCCTTTTTATTAAAAAGAACGAATTTTTGGTTATAAACGCAGATCAGCTCATTTTTTAATTGGTGTTTTCTTAAAACTCATTTAAAAGATAATTTTTAGGTATTCGACCTACCTAACCCAAAAGGACGATGGCGACTCCCAAATTATTTTCAAAATTATTTATTCACATCAATTTCCCTGCCAAAAATAAATATTTCGCGCCCGGACGAAAACCGGTTACGACAGCTTGGCGACTCCACTGGGAACCGGTCAAACTTTTAAAAATCAATTATAAATTGTCTCTATTAATTAAAAATTAAAAATTATATATTTTCTTTCTTTTCAAAATCTTTATATTTACTTATTATTTTCATAATATTTATATGTTTTATTTGCAAGTATTTTATTTCATTATTTATTTCCCTGTTGAAGGTTTGAACATTTCTCCTCACACACAACACTTGCATTGCATTACATAAAGCTCTATAATTGAGTTGTCCCTTTTAAGTGGGAGTGAAAGCAACGTCTTCGTGAGAATTTATTCTCCGTGTCAGACCTAGCAAGTAACTTTCGGGGTTCATATGCTCTATGTCTTCGTGAGAATTTATTCTCCGTGTCAGGCATAGAGAAATGTATCCCCTCGAATTAAACTCGATCCACTTTGGTCTGTGATGGACTAGGATTGAGAGTTAGCAGCCTAAGGGGGCACTAACATGGACAATTCGAGTACCTTTACTCCTAGATCTGAAACCCTGCATATAAAAAAAACCTTAGAAACTCTTCCAATCCGAAGTCATGCCGAAATTTTATCCAAAATAGGTGTACACACAGGAGAAATGAATTTTGTCTTTTCTGTTAATTTATTCATTGTTTAAATTACATGTTTATTTAAATTATTTAAATTCAGAAAAGCATGTTTAAATAAAGAATATTTATGTAAATGTTATTATTAAATTTCTTTATTATGTAAACTAATTTATTTTCTTTTTGTGTGTTCTTTATTTTTCTGTTTGCATTGCATCATACAGGATAAAAGACATTGATCCTTGTGTTAATTGTCTCATTGGAAAGCCTTCATCTATGGATAAAAAGTGTTCAAGTCAAGTAATTCTAAACTCAGAAGTAAGACAGTGGGCTGAAGATTTACAAAGACAAGAAGGAGACAGTCTGCAGGATGATTATGTATCTGAATTGGCCAATTATGCTTCAGTTTCACTAAAAAGAAATGATATGCAAGACTTGCGAAGCATTTGGGAAAGTTGGGATTCAAACAAAAAATTGCAGTTTTATCAGACTTACAGAGATATCCCATATTTGCTCTATGTTGAAGTTGATGATGAATTACTCAGAGCCCTAGTTCAATTCTGGAATCCAGGGTACAATTGCTTCACTTTCAATAAGGAGGATTTGGTCCCTACTATTGAAGAATATACAACTTTGTTACATCTGAAGGTGCTTTAGAGATCGAATATATCAAAGTCAATTAAAACTCAACCCTTTCGAGTTAAATTAGCAAAGATTGCCGGGTACGAGAAGAATGGGTAGTATCCCGTACAAAACAAAAAGGCGAGAGCGAAGGCATAGCTTGGACCAACATCAGAGAACTTATTCAAAGCCATCCAGATATTAAAGTACGATTCGATCTATTTGCTCTGGGTATATATGGTATGGTCATCTTCCCAAAAGTATTGGGATATGTTGAAGCTGCAGTGGTAGACTTGTTTGAACAGCTGCCAAAGAAGATTAATCCTGTTTTTGCAATCCTAGCAGAGACATTCAGATCGTTAAATGCTTGCAGAAGGCTAGGAGGTGGACGATTCTCAGGGTGTACTCAGTTGTTATATGTTTGGATCCGTAGTCATTTCTGGAGAACAGAAAAGATTTCATACCGACGCTTTAATACGGATTATTCACCATTAAAGGAATTTCTGGAGCAGGAATGGCCTAAAGAAATTAAGAAAGATATGTGGATTAATGCCTTTCGAAATATGCAAAGCAATGACGTTATTTGGCGAGCCCCGTGGCAAATACAAAGGGAATTCATTTACAGATGTGGTGATTACAATTGGATAATGCTACTTGGATTATGGGGAGGAATTGGATATGCACCACTTCTGGTCATAAGACAGTATGAAGGTCGTCAATTTGTACCTGTCACTGCTGGATTACAGTCATCTGAGTTCGCATTCCACAGCAAAAATTATAAAAGGAACATCATGGAAGCCGTTACAGCTTGGAAAACAACTTTTTGTATCCGAGCTAAAGCAGCAAAAGAAATGCTAACTCCTGATTATGAAGATTGGAGATCTGTCAGAAAAAACGAAAATATTCCTCTACCAGATCAAAATGAGGATATTTCTATGGAAGATCGCATTAAGGTGGTTCCATCAGAGATTGAAATCTTGAAAGCTGAGTTTGAAGCAGAAAGAGATGGTTGGTCGAAAGAGTTAGAGCAAATGAGACAAGATAAAGCTATGTTGGGGGTTGACATTGATTTTCATTCATCACAATGTGCAATGTTGAGAAAAGATAAAGAAAAAGGTGAGGATGAGTACAGATCCTTACAGAAAAATTACCAGGAGTTGTATAAATCCCGAAAAGCATCAGGACCCAGCCAATCGACGGTACAGATGACCAGAGAATTGAACATTGAGAAAAGACGAGTTGAAGATCTGAAAGGAAAGAATAGCCGTCTACTCAAAAGCCTGGAAAAAGGAAAGCAAAAAATGGAAGATTTCGAGGTTGACAGGAAAGAGCGAATTATAAAACACAAGGCTGAACACCGTGAGATCATGAATGAAATGCAAAGAGAAAGAGATCGAGTCAAAGATTTAGAAGAGATGAAGAAGGACATCTTTGATAAATTTGAAGGCGAGAAAAATATCATGTTCAAGGGATTTGAATCTGAAATGAACCAGTTGATTGCTGAACTTGAAGTCAGAGGCCAAAAGATGGAAGAATCCAATGTGGAAAAAGAAAAATGGGAGCTGGAAAGGAAAAATTTCAACACCAGACTTGAGGTAGAGCAGGAAGTGG